TGGTGTATCAAAAATGTACAATAATTTACCGAAAGTACTAAGGCCTGAGTACTCTTTCGCCTCTCCTAAGGGCTAAAAAGATTAATTTTGAATTTTTATACGAGAGAGGCGGTATTCCCCAGCATTGGTACAGTCAGCCGGGGTCAGGGAATTAGGTTCAAGAACCGGCGAACAATACGTGGGTCCGCCATATCGAGCAGAACCGCCTTCTACATTTGTGCTGGAAGCGACGCGCCACAGAAATCAAACCGCCTCAAACTGCCAGGAAGGCTGATGGAATTAAGCCATCATTATTCTTATGATTATTTCGACATCTAGTTACCATTAAAATTGACCCATATAACTATCACCGCGTTTAAATTATTGACTGATTTATTAAATCCACGCGTGCGCGCCCATTTAATGTTAGATATTGAAAAAGAACACGTTACACCTAGTTTAGTCTGTCGAAGTACATATAAGTGAATCTATAATATACCTTCTATATTTATATATGCCTAATGTTTGGCCGAACACAGTGAAACTATACTTATTTTGTACATGTCAGATTCTATGTAACCTGCGTTTTCACAAATTGATCAATTATTATTATTATAATTTTTATTGTACATTTTAGGGCAGTGGGTTAAAACACAATCAACTGAAGGTTTTAACACACTTCTACCCAAAATCGTGGGCAGAAACGGCGAACCTGGAATGTGATATAATTCCATACTTGTTACAAATTTTGATGTAAAAAATCTTTTTTAAACGAAAAAGAGGCTCCGCAGCTTAGAATAATAACGCATAGAATGATAGTTTCATATCAAACGAACTGTCACAAGTGAGGCAAAAACCAAATTCATGTAGGCGTAAGCAACTTGTAACTACGCTCGTCGGCACGCACACAAATATACAAATAATGATGCCATGGAATAACATTTCCCTCAAAAGTGGGGAAATTGTATCTTGCTTAACTCATCATTAAGTTAAAGGTGCCTACAGATTTGCCCGACATTGTCGATCAGGTGCCTACAGATGTGCTCGGTTTTGTCGATGAAAAACGAATATAGCACTGATTTGTAAATCTAAGATGGCGGACACGATTTTTCAAAATATGCTATATGGGTATCCTTTTCGAGGTATTTGGGGATGCTCATTACGAATATGGCACTCATTTCTAAATCCAAGATGGCGGACA